CGGCCTGTGGCATGCATTTGGCACGGGGCTTCGGTAGCGTGAGCTGTGCTTAGGTCTTCTTCACCCTTGCGGTGTACAACATTGTGATGAGCTCCTTCATTGACAGAGCCGTGAAGTCCACTCAGCCCACGTCGCCGGCTCAGCGTCTCAGAGGCTCTTCCCTGAGGGATTCTTTTCCGAGGCTGGCGGAGAACTTGGAGCGGCGGCAGGCCGAAGAGCAGATGTTTGCGGTGGATCTCTACCGCATCTTGCAGGAGGCAGGCGGCGCCCTGTGCGGCCATCGGCGCTTTTCGCATGCGCCTTGCGCAGGTCGACTGGGACGGTGATGGCGCCTTGCCTGCGGTACGCTGATGTGTGAAGGTGGACCGACCAACGTGTTTCCTTGAAGGGTGGTTTGTATAAATCATAACGTGCATATACATATTCTGCATACAGACTCAAATGCGTATCACGTTCATACGTGCTTGCATTTGCCTCTTAGCCTTTATGTGCCCACACCCGGTCATGCCGGTGTGCGGCATATTCGCCGATGCGGGGTCCTGTCAGAAGTGCACTGGCAGAAGTTTATCAGGCATTAGGTGCGTGCCAAGTGTGATGATTTTGACCTAAAGCAGTGTTCAATGTGAGGTCTCTTCCACGTAGAGTACCAAACATTCACTGCAGGGCGCAGCTGTTGAGTTCTTGACCTGGGCAGTGTGTTTTAAGGGGGGCTCATGGACTGCAAGTTGCCAGCTCACTTTCTTGCAGGGCTTGTGCAAGTTTCAGCACCGTGGTCCCGCTGCATATTTTGCCATGAGGCCACATCAGTATGGACGAGTTTCGGGAAGCCATGACCAACGAGAGCCGACTGGCAGCCGCTTGCCGCCGTGAGCAGAGTTCACCGAATGGTCTTCACAAGCAAGAATGCTTGTTGTGCGGAGCATCAAGCTCTTGCCGCAAGCACTTCAAGCACAAAATGCGGATGCTTTCGTGAGGCCTTCTTGAAGTGGCACGGCCTGGACATCAAGGATTGTGCCTTGGCTCGACCGGGAGTTCTTTTGACCAAGGGTTGCGTCGCTGCGCGACAGTGGAAGCGCGTCCATGCCAGCCATTCCATTCATGCCATGCCATGCCATCCATCCATGCTGTGGCCCGCCCAGACAGCACCTTCTTCGCCATGGTGTCGCCCAGCACCTTGGCGAGAAATGGCCGTGGCTACAAATGGTACCCCGAAAAACGGCCCTCGGCAATGGGAAGGACTGCCTGCCTAACCCTAGCTCTTGAAAAATTGGGCCACGCCCGAATCCGAAGGCCTTTGGGCCTCGAAGCCCCTGGGCCCCTGCGCCCCTGGACCCCTGGCCATGTCCCGAGGCTCCGACGAGGTGAGCTTCATCGACTTCACGCAGGCCTGCTGCCGGCTGCGCGGCGGCGCCTCCTCGATGGACGTGAGCCTGGCCGCTCGGCGCAGCCAAGAGAGGTGTTGCGGTGATCTTGCTCTGGAGGTTGCAACAATCTAATGCCACAATCGAACCAAACAAAAAAATGAAAAGGCAACTGCACAGGTGAGCTTCGAGATGAAGATGATGCTGTACGGCCAAAAGCGCCTCCAGACCTTTGAGCTGCATTCATGGGTCGTGTTGCTTGGGGCTTCGTGCGCGGGGCGTGGGTAGTGCAATTCCCCTTTTGGGTTTGGTCATGCTCGTTACTTCTTCGCATGAAGAACATTGTGCCGTCCACTTTTACCCTTTGTAATTGATCAAACGGCACAGCGCATTGCCATTGCGGGTGGGATCAGCATGAACTTTTTCGAGGTAAGTTTAGGGTTGGTGGGATGCGAGGGTTTGGGATCTGTTTGCGGTGGCGATGGCAGATTTGGGTCAGGTGGGCTTAGCGTGGGGTTGAGGTAGGTCAAGGATGTGCCTTGGTTGCGTTTGGGGTGGGGCCTGGGCGAGTTTAGGGTGGAGTTATAAAGTTGCAAACGCTTCGCGCTGCCCGCCTTGGCCAGGGGTGATTTAGAGGCTTCCTTTGATGTCTGTTCTTATCAGGGCCAGGCTGGACAGCTGGCAAGAAACGACGAACGTGCCACGCGTTAAAGCATCAGCTGCGTGAAATCCGCTTGGCACTTGGCACTGAAGCACAGCCACAGCCGAAGCCAAGAGCAAGGGGGCTGGGGCTGAGCCACTGGAGGCAGCTGGAGAGCCCAGGGCTCATGTGACAGCCGCGTGAGGGCCGGAGCTGCCAAAGGGTATTCTTGGGGCTGGAAATGCAAGTGTGAAAGTTAGAGAGGCGGCGTAGTTGTGCCGCTTCCTTTTCTTGTGAAGGTTGGCACCACGGGCCCAGGCAAGACCTGCAAAGAAAGTTCGACGAGCTTGACTTGAGGCTCGGGGTAGCCAAATTGAGGAGGCTTAGTTCGCCTATGCAAATTCGAAAGCAGCCTCCTACCCTGTGGCACTCGCATTGGACTTTCGCACTTTCGCAGTTTCGCTGATGACTATTAGCGTTGGACAAGTAACCATGAATCTCGAGTTGTTGCCGCGCAGGGAAGGCAGTACTTTCCCTCTGCAGGATGCCTGGCGCGGACGCACAAGCTGCTTCCAGCGTCGAAGGCGGTGGCTTTCAGAAATGCGTTGGGTGCTTGTTCTTCCACAGCATTTCCGTTCCTTTGCGATCCAATTTGCTGGGCTTCTTTTTTGTACCTTGATTCGGCTTTTCGCGGAAGCACTAGGCTAAGGCGGACGCGGCAAACAGAGCAGGCTTGTGTTTTGGATCATGTTTGCTGGGTGCACCTGGCTGGCACCTCCATGCCGCCAGGCGATGCAGAGCTACCAGGCTGCACCAAGATGGCCTTGTTTCAAGGGACGCCAGATCATGTTCAACACACTTTGCAGGCTTCAAGCACTGAGCAGCATGAGGATTGGATCCGCATCATGTTTGTTTTAGCTTGGGTTGCTTTCGCCTAAGGAGCGGTCAAGGGAGCTGCCCGGTTGCACAGGGGCTCCCACTTGTTGCTGCCTTGATGGGCTTGGAGACGGTCTAATTGATGCTTCGGGGATGGGCCGCAGCTTCCGCAGGCAACACAGTCGGCGCAGATGGTGCCCAGGTCAACTCAGGCCAGGGGTAGGGCATGGGTGAGAAGGGGCAGAGTGAAAGTTGTGAAAAGCTATACTCGCACCTTTACCGTGCTGGTTTCTGAATCTGTTGATAGTGTCGCAGCGCGAGGGCATTCTGGTCGAATGCCACTGATAGTTTTTTCTGTAAGCTGGCTCACCGATTTGTCTTCATGGCCAACAGCATCACTCCATGGGAAGTGCACTGGGGGGGAGGGTGTGTGACAGCCACCAAGAGCACATGTACAGTCCCTGAAAACAGCTCTCTGCCGCGAAGGACCCGTGGACATGGGTGATGCAGCTTGGTAGCATGCTGCGATTTTGGCGACGTCAGCTGGCACGGTTTTTGCGGGGTGTCATGTGCTCGCATCTCAAAGATGCGCAGGCGGGCACCGGTGCCTCCTTTGACAACATCAGCCGGATGCTGGACAAGCTGGCCGCTTGCCTGCACGGTATACAGCTCTAGGCCCAAGCGGAGGCAGCGCTTGTTCCATTCTTATTGTGCCTGAGCCCACAGGTCAAGGGGCCGCTTGTATTGCTGTCTGATGGTTGGTTTCAGAATGCTTCCATCATCATTAGGACGAAGAGCCTCAGCGACGACTCTCAGATGAGGCTGTTGCTGATATGCCTTGCGACCGCCGGGCTTGGCGGTAGAGCGATCTGAACAAAAGGGTGAAGAAGCAGCACACTGACAACTAACACCAGGGCACACCAAAATTCCAAGCCATGCTTAGGACTCGGCTTTACCAGGCTTTGGATTGACTTTGCTTTGCCAGATTCATGGCCTTACAGCAGGGCCACCGAACCTCGTCATTGGCATCACGGAGCCCATTGGTTGCTGCGTTTGAGCCTGAGTGCCCTGCCAGGGGCTCGTGTTGGGGCAGATTGCCACGCTCAAGGCCTTGCACCATTTTCGAGGGAGTCGAGACACGTGGTCTGCCAATGTCAAGTAGGGTTGAGTCAACTGCATGCTGCCAAACCGTGCTTGGGCCCCCATGTTTGCCTTCTCAACCCAGAATTTTGAACAACGTTGCTAGGGGTAAATGTCAGGCTTTTCGCTTTCCCTCGGAGGCAGTGGCCAAGGCCAAAGCCAAGGCAAAAGCAAAGGCCAAGGCTGGACTGCTGCATGTTTCGCAAACCCGAAGCTGCCACATTGGGGATCAAGCGCGTTTTTCCAGGCGAAGGCCAAGGCAAGAGGGCGATCCTCCAGAAACTCGTGCCTTTGACTGGGATAATTAAGCCCGGGAGGTCCCGTGCATCAGCGCCGTGTGACCACCTTCGGGCCTGACTGGGCTGTGATTATGGGCAATCCCGGAAAGTGTTTGATGCAAAAGGGACACTTTGACTGTCATCCAAGAATCCAGCTCGCAACATGCCGCGCGCCGCGCGCTGAGGCTGTCGTCCCAAGAAATCCTTGCGAAACTGCACCTTGGTCGAGTCTTCAAAGAGGAAAGCCTGCAGCGTTCAGCACGTCTCGGGCTGAGGATCAACTAAAGCTCTTTGCTGCGCTGAGCCCTTTGGGCCTTGCCGGCTACACGTTCACTTGCATGCGAGGCTTTTGCAAAGCACGGCCTTGCCTAGAAATTGGGGCGTGGCCTTGTGCCGACGTCTGGCTTCAGAGAATGAACTAGTTTTCAGATTTTGCAGGTGGCCCCCTGTGCTGAAAGCTCTGAAGGAAATTCACTTATCAGTGACAACGTATCAGCCAGAACCATTTGCGAAGAGGGAGAAACCCTTCATGCACTGCTCTTGGGAGCATCCTTTTTCGATCTTTTTGCAGATGGTTGTGCAGACTCCACCTCCGCCGGAGCGCTCCGGCTTCGCAGAAAACGAGAGAGACTGCAGCTGAGAGGTTTTCAGCTTGTCCCAGTGGCACAGCATCCAATGGAGGCACTGGCAAAAGAATGAGCCCAGGTGCGACTTGCTAATCGCTTGAAGCTCAGTGATAGTTTGCAAGGCTCGGGCCTGGCTTTGCCAATTACTTTTGCGAAGGCTTGTCCCCACATCACTTGCTGCTGTGGCTGTTCACAGCTTTGGTGCTAAAGAACAATTGTTCAAGGGAGTGCTCCGTTGTTTGCAGATTTGTCTTTGTACGGCATATCGTCCCTTCGCCAAAAATGGGTTCTGAAGGATAAACGGATCTTGATAAATTTGCCCGCTGATGATAAAGCTGGCAACGAGGTATTGCACACCTGAGCCATTTGGATATGATGGAGTCCTGCCCGCGGGCGTCCCAGCCAACGAACGGTCATCCGCTCGCTCGCTTACTCTTGGCTGAGATTCAGTCATGACCTGATGTCAAGTGTTTTGGGCAAACTGCTGGGCTCAAGTTTGTTGGAGATCGTAGAGATACCGTAATACTTGGCCTAGTGCACGTCGCCACGCTGCTCATGGCTATGCAGGCGCCAGGCGGGGCACAGGTGGTTGGTGCTGGAGGTTGGCCTGCCCTGCCAGGAGCTCGCTTCACTCGGAACCTGGCAGCCTTGGGGCTAGAGACGCCAAAGCTGCACCGCTTGCAGATGGTGGTCGTGCCAGGACCGGCCGGACTCCGAGGTAGAATTCAAGCCCCAGCCCAAGCGCGAAGACAGCCGCGCGAGCTTGACATCAAGGATGAGGTCGTTGAGGATCTTGATGTTCATCGCACAAACGAGTGAGGCAACAATAGTTTGCCCCTAGCAGGGCTACTGGCGTTTCAATCCTGTAGCAGTCCAATCCTGTGGCAGTCCAATCCGTCAACTAGTGTGTGGGGTTGGACGCTGGAGTTGATTTTGTTCGAAGGCTCGCTTAAGATAGGTTCTGCGTAGACCCTTCTGCCCTGGCAGATTGATTACGAGGCTTGGCTCGCCAGCATTGACAGAGCCAACCAGCGGAGTAGCTCGAGTAGCACCACTTCGCAGGCGAAGTGTGGTATCCGCCAAGAACTTATTCTGTTCCACTTGTAAACAGCCAGTTCCTGCGATCCAATGGGTCCAGAGATGCACAAAGCGTTGACCTATTGATGGCGCACTGCTGCCGCTGCACATTGAAATTGAGAGGAGCAAGAATGTTGCTCATGCCAAGGTTCCAGAGCCTGTGGTGGCTGAAGCCATGCCAGAAACGCGTACCCTCCCCCCACTAACATGTAAGGCGTCACCTGAAGAGGAAATTGATCTGGTACCCTCCCACAAATGCTATGTTAGTGGGAGGAAGGGTACAGAGAGCATCAGTGTGCATGTATTCTTAACATGCTTGTTGGGGCGAAATGTTGTCAAGTTGTTGTAGCAGGCTCTAAATGAGTGCTACTTCCCGCAAGACGGGTTTTTTCAGAGTGGCCTTGCGATCTCAGGCCGGGTGGTGTTGGTAGCCCTGGCGGTCGAATCTGATGGTCATGGACGCTGATAGAACGCTTTTAAACAGGTTTGACAAGCAAGTTTGGCACGGCCGGATGTGTTTTTGTTTCAAGCTGACTGCCTCCGGGCTTCCAGCCCAGTGCTCGCATGTGACCATACCTTAGACCGGCTCATGGCGGTGATGGCCGTCTGCTTCGGCACTGCAACCTGCAATCGCCCCTGTACAGTGGTATCTCGACCTGCGGCTTTGCAGCACACGGCATCCCTGTCCTTCCCTGACCCTAAAACAAAACCTAACCAAATATGTCGTATGGTTCATCTCCGGCTGCTTCTTCAAGCCGAATGGCTCAGGGCGGGCCATGGGCACAGGCCTTCTCGGTTGCGAGTTTGCCTGGGCCTCCGGGGCAATCATGTGACGAGTTTGTCTGAGCTCTATGTTGTTCATGTGGCGAGGCATTCTGCCACAGCTTCGTCAGCGGCCTCGCTGCATAACCTATCTCCTACATTGAGTTATTTCTCCGGGCAGTTCTGTGTGTTGGAAGTTTTGCAGGATGAGTCACCAGAGGCGCTTTGAGGCCAGAACTGCCTGGTGTGATTGGCTCATCCTCTCAGCATGCCAGACAGTTGTGCTGGGAGAGCTTCTGCTTGTGCTTTGGCGAAGATTGTGGCCAAGAGCCGTTTCGTCACAGCAGCTTTTACCATTCGGAATTCATGGAGTGCCATGGCTGGGGAACAGCAAATCTGGGACGTCTCTTCCCTTTAGGCCCAGTCAACTCCCCGAACATTGGCTATTTGGCAATGAGCTCTTCGAATATTCAGAATGGCATATGGCATGACGCCCCTAGCTTTCCCTGTGCTCCTCGCGGCATTATTTGCTTGCAAGTTGCGACCTGCAAAGAGCGTGGCGCTGCTTCTAAAAAGGCCTCAGGCATGGTTTGAAGGTGGCCCCCGCGGTCCACGGGAGAAAGCTAGGCTGGGGATTCCAATTCGCTGTAATCGGTACCCCCCACCAAAAAGGAGAGGTTGGTGTCTCTTCGGGTCCATGTCGCAACACCCAGGTTAGCGCCACTTGATTCCCACACAGTCGGACAGCTCAGCGACTCATCGCTCTTGGTGCTCAGGGCTTTGCTCTGCGCACGAGCGCGGCTGGTGTCGGACTCTGGTGGGCGGCTTCCCAGAGTGTCAATGACATGTCAATCATTGCCAGTCATTCGTGAGACCTCCCCATGGTGTCGCAAACAGCAAAAAGTTCTAAGCATTGCTGCCACACATTCAGTCATCTAGAATCTAGACGCCGAGCCACGTTGTCAGCCAAGGTCCGCTCCTTCGCCGAGGTGGTTCGGGCTGCCGATTCCGGTGCTTCCTTGGAGGCGAGCTTCTTGATCGCTCTCCTGTTAGGCGCTCGGTTCGGTGCATGGCGCTTGGCAGTTTGTCTTGCTCGCTTGTCTCGGGGCTCAGTAGCTTTGGTCAGCTTTTCTTTCCCGGTTGCCCTGTCCGTTTGGGCAGCCTCTTTCCGAGGCTTTCAGACGCTGTGGTTTGGCGGCGAGTGGTTCACAGACACACATTGGGGCGTGATTCTAGCAGCTGCTAGCATGCTAGTGCAACGTGCATGTGAGCAGCATGTGTGTGTGTGCTTTTGTTTGTGTATGTGTGTATGTGTGTATGTGTGTATGTGTGTATGTGTGTATGTGTGTATGTGTGTACGTGTGTATGTGTGTAAGTGTGTATGTGTGTGTGCGTGCGTGTGTGTGTAAGTGTGTATGTGTGTGTGCGTGCGTGTGTGTGTAACCCTCGACGGCCACAAGAGGGACTCCTGTCATGAGATGCCTGAGGACGCAGGCTGGGTCCTATTTTGAACAGGACTGGCGTTTTGTTGGGGCTTGTTTGTCATGGTGCGGATTTGGCAAGAGTTTCTTGCAGAAACAGGCAGGGGGCACGGGTGTGACATTCGCCTCCCGTACCAATGAAGACGGCTGAATGCCACAGTGACATGCGTTTGGGACGCCGCATGCACGTACCTGCCTCAAGTGCTAAAAAGTATGGGTTTGGTTCCAGGAAGGCTGTGATCATCCCTACAAGCCAAGCGAAGCCGCCGACTGCACGGTGACCCCAACCCGGTTCTGAATATGAGGATCTTGAAGTACGCAGCGCCTTACGCCTGTTTGTTTGGTCTAGTCAGACCACCGAGCATGAACTGAAGCCATTTGTAAGCGTTCGTGTATGAGCAGGGGGGCACGGCGCCAGATTGCAGATCGTGCGCTGTGCCAGTGTCTTGCAAGAAGGCCGCTGCTCCACATCTTTCTTCAGATCAATCATCGTGTCCCGGTCCAGCTGGGTCCGGGTCCAAGGCTTGCTGAGATCAGGAAATCATCGTGGCACTGAAGGTCAAGGTAAGGCGCCTTCTCATCGGGAGAAGGTGGCAGGAGAAATGATGGGAGACAAACACGTGGTTCCTGGGAGAAGCTGATGAGGATCTGCGCAATGTTCTCGCCGGCCTCACGATGAGGTGGAACTTCTGCATTGGGGACGCGATGCAAATAGGAGATCGAAACCTTTCCAAGCGATTGCGATGAGGCAAGCCAGGAAGGAGGCCGAAGAGCATGGGATGGAACGTGCCAACTCGACCAATGTTTTCCTGGGAGTGACAGGATGTGTGCGTCGCGACATCTATGGCTGCTTGAATCTGGGAGCTGAGCGAAACGAGGATTGCAACAGGCAGCCGGCAGGGACGAAGATGAAGACGAAGATCACACTTCCGACGTTAATCAATCCTTTCAGTATGGTCTAGCCAAATCTGCGGGAAACAGATGTCAATCATGCCAACTGCCAAGACCGTTCGCCGCCAAGGAAGGACACACGAGTCAACAGCAATTCGCACAATGCCAGCACACTTCAAGCAATCACTCGCAGCGAGACCAGAGGGACGGCGGCCGGCGTCGCTTTGACTGCTGGTGGGCGAAGGTTCACAGGGCACCACCATGCCTGCAAGATCTTGATCTTGATCGGTGGCACCCATGACCCCAATGATCGACGAGTCGCTATGTACACCGTGCCGCTGGAGACATCAGTGTGACCGTGATCATCTGGACGTGGATGGATTGATGTAGGGTGTGTGTTACTCGGCGGAGTCCGCGCGCGCCGTGATTATGTGGCGGAGAGCTGACGGCGCCGGAGAGCCTGATCAGCTCTGCGTACCTGCGCCGCTACTGAGTGATTCAAAGTTCACCTGGTTCTTTGGCTGCTTTGTGTGTTTCTCGTTTGATTTGGTAACGTGTTCGCACCTACAGGGAAGGCACTGTAGCCACCGCTCGAACTTGTTGGCTCGAATGACACCTACTCACAGACTCATGTCAGACGTCTTTTCCCTCTGGGGGTCATTTCAGTGTGTGAGTGTGTGAGTGTGTGTGTGTGGTTGTGGGCGTGCGAGCACGTGCTCGCCCCAGTTGCTGCGCGCGCCGCTTTTCTGTGGCGCTAACCGTTGGTGCTACGCTGGCCCACATGCCCGCCGAGCGAGGACGTTGAGTTTGCCAGGATGTTATGGCTCGACCTTGCGCTTTTAATACTTGTGTGGCCAAGTGTGCAAGAATTCCCGGCGTCATTTGCGCTGGTTGTGTGTACGCGTGTCATCCCGAAAGCTGGCCTCTGAGGTTTGCATGGGGTGAAGGTTGCAAGATTGTGAGTTTGTTGTTGCCGGACTGGTTTCCCACTTGCTGCCGCTACATCTCGCCCGGACGCGCGCTTTCTGGTTGCGTGGACGGCAATTAGCAGAAACCCAGAATTGCATGTTATTTTGAATTGCTGCAAATTGAGCGTGTGTCATATGCGTATATAACCTTTCAACTCTCATAGCTTAAGGTATAGGAATAATTACGAATGTCATTGTTCACCAACACCGTTTTTAGTGTATGAACATAAATTGAGAAGCAAGAACATTTCAATAACTATGACATATAAAAGTAAGACTAATGATATAAATCACAGTAATTGTAAAGACTTCGAAAGGTCCGCCGCGGCCCAGCCCAGCACGTCTGGGCTCGAAAGCAAGCAGCGCAGCTGGCTAAATGGCGATTCACAGGTGTGAGTCATGGAGCCAAGGGACGCAGCGGGGTGTGCCCTGAGAGGCAAGGCAGCTTGGTGCGCAAGCCACGTTGGCCCGGCATTTGCCTTTAGTTTTTTTAAACGCCAGCTTCTGTGACGAAACGTGCCAACGCTGGACTGGAAAATGGACTGAAACGCTGACAGAGCGGCTTCACTGGTCTGGGCTTGGCCCTGGACTGGCCTGGTCTGACTTGGGCCAATCGAAGCTGTCGTGCCTAGCTGGGCAAGCCAGGCTGGACGAGCTGAGCCACTGGACTGGCCTGGCTGGAGACTGGGCTGGGCAGACTGGGCTGGGCTGGGCTGCTGCAACTGGACGAAACTGCTGGGCAAACTAGCTGAGCTAAGCTGATTTGGACTGCGCTGAGCCAGCTCAGCTGCGCCGAGTGGGCACGCTGGACTGCTGGATGCAAGCTGAGGCGAATTCATATGAATTGTTAAATAAAGAAAGACATACCACACAAAATGACAACAATAAACAATCATGGCAGTAAATGCAATGAAGCTGGGGGAGGGGGCGGGGCGAAGTGGCAGGAATTCGCCAACACCATCCGAGCTGTCAAAGAGCGGCACAAGCATCAGCCGCTTGGATTGAGATCTGTCGGTCGCTGCGAGTTGCCGAGAAGAGTTGATGGAGCTGAGCTGGAGCCACATCCCGTGAATGTTTCCGCCAGGGCAACAATGACAAATGTAACACGATGACCAAACTGCGCAGCGAAACCCACCATGTACACGCGGCAAGAACTGCTTGGCGAACCCTGTCCCCAGTAAACGTGGTTGCGGGTTCTGATGGGCGAGAACCGGGCAACTTTTCCATTTGCTTTGCAGGGTCAAGCGCCTCACAGTGGGCACGCATCACTTGAAGAGGCCGGGCAGGGCTTGACCGTGCGGCTCAGATTCCTGGTTTTGGAAGGTTATTTGGGTGTGCTTGAATTGTCAAACATGTTTTGAAGACTTGAGTGGGTTAGTGTTGTGCCCCTGCTCCAGGCTCCTGATCCAGTCAGGAAAGTCCGCAGACGAGGCAGGTCGCGCGTTTGCCAAGAAGAGGGTGCTCCTGCTGAGTGCCCGTGTTCGTCTTGCGCCTGAGGCAATTGAGGGCATTGACCAGTTTCTGGATCGCACAGACCTAAAATCTGTGCTTCTGGGATGTCAGGAATGCATGAAGGTGCCGAAATATCTATATATCTTTTTACACACGTATGTGTTTGTGTTTGTGTGTGTAGCACCTTGGGGCACAGGTGCTAGCAGCACGGGGCATGGCCTTCACGCTCTAGGCTTTGTCCTCTCCCGAATTGGCATCGAGATGCTGAACTCCCAGTGCCTTCGTTTCAAGAAGAAAATGACTATGACGGATGTGGCGTGGAGGTACTTGTCGCTTTTCACGCAGAGCAGGGGCATTGCCGACCCGAACTGCGACCCTTGTGTGAGGTTCCCAGGACTCACGTGACACCTGGCTTTCGATCCGGCCCCAAAAGTTGCAAGGCCCTGGCACGGAAGGCTGGCGCCATCGCGTGGGTCTCAGGGAATGCAGCGACGCGCGGCGCGGGAGGCTTGGGCACAGCTGAGGCGCGGAAGATTGCCGCCGAGGAGTTTGAGGCCGTCCCAGAGGCCCGAAGCGAGCGGGGCGTGGCTGATTGTGCGGCACCGGGCCGGTGTTTAACACAGCCGAAGTCATTGACGCTGTGTTTTGGAGAGCGGCCCATGTCGGCGACCCGACAGGTGCAGGTCAGCTTCTTTGGCAAAAGGGATGCGCAGCGCTCAACCCGGTCACTTCCAGAGATTGCTACTGCGAAAGCATACACACGCACATACATATATACATATATGTACAGGTACACACACACACACATATATATATAGATAAACATATTCCGCTTCTCAGGAGGCCGAGGTCAATGGCACCCTTTTGGGCAAAAACGTGGCTGTGCTGTGGGGTGTGATGCTGTTAGGCCCGGACGCTTCCATTGGTGCCATCATATTTGCCAGGTGCCTGGTTGAAAGCTTTGTCCAGCTTCCACTGAGAATTTGGTGCTACTTGTGCCTGAGATGGCCGGCCGTGGGTTGCACATGTGGCAAAGATTGGTAGTCACTGAGGGCACATGACGCTGTCAGGCTGTACATTCTCCTGGAACTGCTGAAGAACAGCTTGGGGCTCAGAGCAGTAGCCTACATTCGTACCGTGCGTTGGTACGTGGATGCGTGAGGCGTCCGGGCGGTAGCAGAAAACCACCGCGACAACAAGTCGAAGGAAGCGCCGTCGCCCCGCCACGTAGCAAGACCTTCTCCTCCAGCTTGGGTCTTCCATCTCGAGTCCCGGAGCCGCGCCAGGGTGGACCCCATCGTGATCCGCGTCGCCAGCGACGAGGCCCAGGTGGTGCGTGGCCCCCGGCGAAGGGAATGCCGGATGCCCTGTGCAGTAGCAACGGCAGGGAACATGTCTCGAGGCTGGACATCTTCGACCGTGGCGGTGGCATCCCGTTTGAGCCACTCGAATGGGCAGCAGAGTGGCTTCACTTTTTGTCGTTTACGATGTTCATGATCCTTGGAGGTTTGCAGCTGTGCTTGTACAGGTCATTTGCTTGGTGGCTGTAAGCTGGTAACTGGTAGCTTGGCACGCTTTGCAACTAACCAGCGCCAGCATCCACCTTGGCATCTTTGGCATCACCGGTCATGAGCTGCAGGCTGCAGCAGAAGGTTTGGAGCTACATGTATTCCACCCGGAGGCCATGCGCGACCTGCGCCGACCCGTGATTTCCAGGACAGGCAAAGAGTCGCGTCCACTGCTTCCGCCTTGCACAGGGGGCCCGTTTCAGCAGACCGAGAGGATGAGGCGCGGAAGGGGCCTTGCCTTGGTGAGGTAAGCTGTGTGTGCAGGCCACACCGCTGGCTGGCTTTGGTGTTGGCCTGCCTTTGTCCCGGCTCTATGCCGAGTGAGCAGTGTGTTGGGAGTTGGTGCGTGCGCAGCTTTTCTGAGCACGCAAGGTTATTGCGACCCATTCTTCGCCAGGTACATTGGTGGCTCACTGCAGCTAATCAGCATGCGGCTTGGTTGCACTAGCCTCCAGGGGCTTCAACGTCCCGCTTGACCGACCTGAGGCCAAACTTTGGGACGTCTCTTGGCTGCGAGCTTTCAGTGCTTTAGAGCAATTCCCGGGAACTGGGCGCCTCATGGAAAGTGGGGCTAAACGCGTGCAAGCGTTTCGCCAGGCGGCCTCTGTATTGGCACTCAGGCATGCCTTTCTATTCCTGGAAAGGTGCAGCACACGCAAGGCTTGGGAGCGACCGTTTCCACCTTACATTTGGAGAGATCGGTCGGTTTTACAAGAAACAGGTTCGGAAGGCTGGACGCCAGACACCTGCAAAAGGGTGACTTAGGTGACCCTTCCCGATGCACAGCACCCAGAGAAGGCCTCATTTTTGCGAAGCACCTGCATGTGGCCAGGAGGGGATGCCCACATACGTGAACTGGTTGCGCAAGCCGGACGCCTAGGTGTGTACAGGAAACCGTGCAACACGGGCAGTGCTGCCAGTGGTATAAGGTTATTTAATACTTGTTGCCAACACCGCAGTTTCGGGTAGCTTTATGAGGGCCGCTCATGAAAGGTTCGTAGTTTCCGCAGTTACGAGCCACAGCATCAGTAACAGCAGCAACCAGCCACTGCCGGTAAGGCGCCATTTGCTGGAGGAGTTGGTGGAGCTTGAGGTGCGCAAGCGCCCGGTGGCCGAGAATTCTCCCGCAGGAAGCCGCCCGGGCGATTGGCAGTTTGGAGCGGAAGGGATGGGTCCATGTTGACCTTGTGGCTGCCCTCGTTTCGCGCCATTGTGGCGCAGCCCGGTGATGTTTGTAGCTTTGTTTTCGTCACTGCGCTGCTCCCAGGCGCTGCTGCAGAAATCGAGGACTACGCAGAGGCGGGAAGCGAATTTGTGTGCAGGACTGGGCTGACTGCCATCAAGCAGATGACTGTCACGAATCTTGCAAGGGGCCAGCTACATCTGGAAGCCAACAGTTTAGGATGCCCTTGTTGCAAGATGCGCATCTCTCCAAGCTGAGTGATTCAGCTTCTCTCAGACAGTTCGCAATTTGCCGTTTCGGCTGCAGCACGCTTCTGAACCTTGGGGTCGAAATGATGTGCCGCCCTTGCGCAATGTTGCGGTAGGCCAGGCATGTCGCGAGCCATTCTAGTTTGGCTCGCGCTGTGGCCGTGCCTGGCGGCACCAAGGACCTGTGACCGCGTGCGGAATGTCACATCACAGAATTCAGCGCCGCTGCTGCTACAGTGGCCTGGCGCTCGCATCAGGCCAGCGGCTAACTACAGCTTGAAAGTGGGCAATGCGACGTCCATGGCTGACGTGCCAAAACTTTACATAGCAAAGGTGAAATCCATCTTTGCTGCATGGGGTTGGATGGGTTCAGTCTCCCTCCAACAGTTCGGACCGGCCGGAGTGCGCAAGTTCTTGAACTCAGCCGTGATCTTTGATTGGTGCCTGTTTTCTGTGGCGGCTTTCCTGGCAGTGCTCTGGCGGCGTGCGCAGCGTTCTCCGTACATTTCGCTGCTGGGCTGGTGTGCGCTGGGCACCGCCTATGCCGCTGTGATTTTTGCACGCATGGGCTCCCACCACGGCTCGAACTGGTTGGCAGGCGGGCTATGAGTTTGGAGGGTTTTGTGAGGGAGCAGACCACCGCATTGAAAAGCCAAACCATCCGGAAGGCAATCCAAGAACTAAGCAACGCGTTTGGTAGGCTATTTGCTGGAGCTGGTCTTCCTGGTGGAGAACGTGTTTGTCTTTCACGCCATAGGGGAGGCATTCCGGATATCTAGCGCAGCTGTGGCGCAGTGTTTGGTGGTGGTCGCCTGGGGGCAGAGCCATGGCTAGCATTTTTTGTTTTACCTTTTTTTAACTGAGCAGGTGCGGGAGGGATGCGTTTTTTTGAACTACGGCTGCTTTTGCTCTTCGGTCATCGGTCTGGTTCCCTTGCCGGTTGGTTGGCTGGTTGGTTGGTTGGGTGGCTGGTTGGCTGGTTGGGTGGCTGGTTGGCTGGTGGGCTGGTTGGTTGGTTGGTTGGTTGGTTGGTTGGTTGGTTGGTTGGTTGGTTGGTTGGTTAGTTGGTCGGTTGGTCGGTCGGTCGGTCGGTCGGTCGGTTGGTTGTTTGGTTGGTTGGTTGGTAGGCAGCGTCCCCAGCATCACTGGCCTCGCTTGAGATTGGGTGGGTTTGGGGCTTGGGGTTTCAGCAGTGGCTTTAGGGCTGCCCCGGGATGTGTATGCGTGAGTGCTGGGCTGGTTTTGGTTTGGGACAATGCTCTAAAACCAGTCCCAAACCAGCCCAAAACTCACTCAGCCACACTGGAAAGCAACCACACAGCCGCCTGGCGCAAATCAGGCCCCCAGCTTAACCCCAAACCCTCCCAAAGTCAGGACCTACTTGCTGCCCATAACGAGCTGATATGGCTGTGGGTCAAAAATAGGTACCCAAAATAGAACCCTGGTAAAGGGAAACATGGACTAAAACCTGCGGTCCTCTGGTGGTTTAATTTTGACCCACAGCCATATCCTGTTGGCCAGCCAGGCCTGACCTGGTGCAGGTTATGCAATGTTTTTCGCCAAACGAAACACCAGCGCTAGCGAAAAAGCAGCCTCAGTGTAGCAAGACACCCAGAACTATTTTTTACGTTTCTTTAAACTGATCCTGCAGAAGGAGCGCCAGACTGCTTCCAGCCAATGCTCCCTTCAATCCGCTTTTTAAATCATCTCGTCATTTTCTTCGTCCTGTGCTGTTTTTCCCCCCTGCGTAAGCAGTTGCAGGATTTGCTTTGATGTGGTCTTCTTCATGGGCCTGGCACAAAGGCTTCGCTCCTTTTGGCTGCTTCCCTACTTGCTGGGCTGCTGGCTGTTGAGCCTCGGCGTCACGGTGCTGCTCCACACCGAGGAGGAGAAGGATGCGGCGGCTTCGCCATCCAGCGGCTTGGCTGACAGGGTGCGACTCCTTAGTCAAACCCAGGAAACCCCTGGTGAACATCAAAATAGGTGGCAAATGGCTGTCCATCCATCCCAAAATGGAGCCATAGGTTATGCCCCATGGCCAGATCCCTTTTGGAAAGCAACAACGACAACTTTGTGGCGGATGGCTGCCAAGAGGTGCCAGCCAACTGCGCCGAGGCTCGGTGTCGGAGCGCTCATGCAGCCCGGCAGCGGACATGCTAAGGCGGGGCTGCAAGTTGAAGGCATATCGAAGCAGAGGCCCATGCCTCTTTTTGGAATCCTGCTTGGGTGCGACAAATTTAAGTTCAAATGCTTTGTCAAAGCGTGGGTGCGGCTTGAGTTGCAGGAACGTCCTGGCCAGCAGAGTTGATGCGGATGGTGAGGAGGAATCAGGACAGTCCACATTTTTCTCTCAAATCTGCTGCGTAGCTTACGTCCGCGACAAACATATCCCTAGTCCCTAAATATCTCATCCAGCAAGCATGCCCAGCGTATCGAAGAGGCCCACATACAGAAACGTAAATACATGATATACCTTGAAAGAAGGCCGCAGGAAACCTGCGTTGAAACGTGAGAAGGATGCGTTGCGCAGCCGGCGCGCACAGAGTTCCTGGACTCTGCAGGATACTTGCGGTTGAAGGGCAGGGACCTGAAGGTCTCAGTCCTGAACGTGGCCACCTGCGTCCTTCTCTTGGCGGACTTCCTGCTGGATATCGACGTGGTGCTTACCAAGATCGAGGAGATCCCGAACTCGTACCTCGCGTTCAGCTCCTCGGCCCTGGCCACCTTCATGATTCCGGAGCTCTTCATCCTGAGCCAGGACCGACATGGGCGCTTGGGGAAACGTGCGTGCGTGAAGAAAAGTCATTTGAGAAGGACATGCTCGCCTGGTTTCCGCTGCTGAACTACGGCATCGGACTGGTCCTTTGCTTCTTTGGCATCCAGATGGTCTTCGCACAAGTTGTAGCTGCCAAGTTGCAAACACGATGGGGCGCACTTGCCGCTTGAAGAGTTCCTTTGATGCGTAGTGCTACACCAACTAAGGAAGTGGAAGCGTTGCTTTCATGTGGCATCGTGGTTTCAATCCTGGCATGCTGCGCACCTTGCTTCGATCAGGGCTTGCATGCCTTGCTTCCAAGCTGACTGCTTTTCTTTTGCTCAGGTAGCAGCGTCCGCCGCCCGCAGCTTGTTTGAGCCACGCGCAGGCCCGCCGAAGGGTTGTTTCCCGCGATGTCCTGTGGAGGTTTCGCGGGTTCCGAGGCAAGGGAAGCTATTGGCCGCCACCTGTATGACCGAATCTGCTTCTCGCAAGGCACGCGCCAAGCTTCAGGAGTTCAACGTGAGTTGAGAGAAGGCTGGCCGATTTGGTGCTTGCCTTGCTCTGGGGTGTGGTGGTTTTGGCTTCCCTCGTTTCGTCTGCTTCAGCTAGGTCGGGCTGGTCGGGCAAGTCTGCATTTCTTTGGGCATGTCCTCGTCATGGTGGGCCGAAGCCATGTTGCCGCTCAGGACAACAACTCCACATGGGCTAGACACATCTTGCAGTGGTCGTATTTCCCGCTGGTGTTGCTGCTGGATTTTTTCTTTATTTTGAAGGGCTCCCGCGATCGCTCGCGCCACGTGCGCCGGCCATGGCGTTTTGGACGTCTCATGTTTCGCAATTTCCGGCTTGGGGCTGCGCTGCCTGGATGGCGACTGCGATCCTGGCGCTTCCAGGGCTGGGAGGATTGCTACCTGGGGTTCAATGACCCGCCAGGCACGCGAGCAGAATGTAGAGCGGGCGGTGGAAAGTTGGTGTGTGTGTGTGTGTGTGTTGTCGCTCGCATTTGCGGAGATGCGCTTGCGTCGCGCTTCAGGCGAGATGCTCCACATTATCCTGAGCTTGGTCCGTGCTCGCATGACGGAAGTTGACCAGCTACTGAGTGTGGCAGGATCGATGACGTCATTAAACCTGCTGACGGCACTGCGGCCAAGACAGATTCACTTCTTTGACATGAACCCTTGTGCCATCGCATGGGGGAAGATGCTTTTGGAGCTGATTGCCGCCTCCAACTCTCGTCAAGAGTTTATGTCCCAGCTTTTCGCCCGGGACTTGTTGGCTTTCGAGCAGACGCACGGGGGGCTCACCTACCTGAACCAGCACCAGTACCTGGCGACGTCCACCTCTCCAAAGCTGCGAGAGGAAGCGCAGGGCCGCCTCTCGACGGAGGGTGCGGAGGTCTACCGCGAGATCCTGGCGCCTTTCCAGGAACTGCGGCGGCGCCGGGACTGGCACACGCCGAGGCTGGCGCCCTGCGAGGACCGGCGCAAGGTGCCGAACCGCACCCGCAGCGGCCTGGGCAGCCAGGGCCGCCTCCCCGCTGATGGGGTGGCCTCCTACCACTATGGCGAGGGATGGCTGGCCTCTGAGTGGACCTTCCAGCAGGCCAGTCGCGGAGAACGCCATTCTTTTTTTTGGGGCGACTGGCATGCGGCCAGGTCCAGCAGCAGTTGCGCAAGACGCCAGCTGCTCAGTTGCAGTGGCTGCATGCCATGGCCCGTGGCCCAGTGGATTCTGGCCCAACTGTCCGAGGTTCGGTGGTCTGGCGGCCTGGACTTCCCGACAGCGTCAGCGGAGGCCCTTGCTGCGGAGTCGCAGCACGGCGCTTTGCTGTTTTTGATGGATGCCTGGTCTCAACTTCTGAGTTGCAAGGGGGTCTTTAGACCGCAAGGGCGGGGATTCGAGCTGGGCTCGCTGCTTAAGCTTTTTGCGTTTTCTAGTGGAGACGGATTGCTGACCAACAGTGAGCACACCCAACATCACTCTTGGAAGGACGGGTGTGAGACGATGGCTTGCTTTTTTGAGATTGGATCGGTCCGTCCTTAGGACATGTTCTCCTCGGAGTTCGCTAGCGCCTGGCCACTGCACCGGGCGCAGCGGCTCCAGCAAAGGTGCGGGGGCCTTTTGCTGGCGCAGAGCATCACCAGGGACCGGCAAGAGCTTCTGCAGGAAGCGGCCAGGGGTTTGAACAGGCATGGGGACTGCCACTCTTGGCGTGGAGTTCTTGCTTAGCGCATAAACCTACCTACAAGCTTTGGCCAAATTTGTGCGCCTCAGGCCCAGCTACACAAACCCATGGCAGGAGCTGAATGGCAGCTCTTGGCGCAGCCTTTCAGACTGGGACTCTCAGGCGGGATGGGCGGCACAGCTGGGCAACATCTTGGCCGTGCGTGTAGCGCCAGTGGGTGCAGTCAAATCATCCGCTGACAAATGGCATGCACATGTTTTACCGATATAGTCCCGATTCATGGGGATATCAGTTTGAGATGGCATTGTAGCTTGGCCTAGGCCTTCTTGGATTTTGATGTCTGAAGTATTTTGATTCACACAGCTTGCCGGTGTTGGCTATGGTATTGCAACGGCACTGTTTCCAGAAGGAAGGGTTCCTAATGGGCTCCTATGGTCCCTGTCGTGTGCGCTTCGGCGGCGCCGCGGCGCAGGCGCTGCTGCCCAGCGAGTTCTGCCGTGTCGGTGTGGACACTTCCCCTGGCTGCCGGCCTCCAGGCCTGTCCGGCGAGGCGCGAGGGACAGGAGGCACACAGTGAGGCGCCAGCATTTGTTTAATCTGATTGGGCTGAGACTGAAGTGAACAATCCGAGGGCTAGAGGCTCGCCAGACTGCCACACTGTGCAGGCGCTGCGGCTGTGCCATCCTTTGCTGCGGCAGGCCAGTGGCGCGGATCTGCAGTTGCTCGAGGAGCTGACGCGTGACCGCTTCTCCCGCTGCGAAAAGCGGCGAAGCGCATGCGACGTCGAAATGAGCGGCGTTCAAGCCCCAAGCGGAGCGGTGAACTCAGTTTTGTTTCAGACCCGCAGCCAGGTCTGCGGCTCGGTGCGCTCGAGCTGGATCCATGAAGGCTTGCATGCGTGCAGCGCAGTCTCAGGTAGTGCTTGCAGGAGGGGGGGTGATTGCAGGGCTGGGCGATTGGCTCAAGCTTGGACGCCGGTCATGAGTTATGAGTGGAAAAGGGCAAGGCAGCTTCGAGGTGCCCTGATTCAACCGCCCATGGCCATTTTCTTTATCCACCATCTACCTCTTCAGAGCGACACCGCAAAAATGACATGCGAGGCAGATACTTTCTTGCTTTCCTTTTGCCCAATCCAGCTAGCCCTCTTCAAGTGTCGCTTTTGTTTGGACTCGCTTTCGATCATTTGGACTTCAGTTTGCCATGAAGCGCCGAGGGGGGAGCCTTACGGAGGCCTGGCCCAAGAAAGGATTGACTGGACGCTAGGAACTAGTGCTATGCCACGTAGCTGTTTAGGGGGCCTTGACGCACCTCTTGCATCCCAGAAGAAATGCACCTCCTTAGTTGCAGGGCTTTCAAGGTTCGAGATGTTCGGGGACAGGCTGCGTGCGGCTAAGGCCCCCCGGACCCGCAAGCGGCTCTGCGGCAAAGCTCCGCCTGAGGAGCTGCTGCGACGGGCCCAGGCAGGGGTGTCGAGAGCCTGGGCGGTTGGGTTGGCCAGATGTTTAAACATCGCATCTGACAGGGGCTCCCTTTGAAAGGAACATGGTCTTCCAGGACCCCCGGATGTCAGGTTCCACGCTACTTGGAGGGTACGTTTCTGGAGATTTTCCCGCTTCTTGCCGCTGCCACGATGGTTCTGATGCTTCCGCCTTGACGCCTGGGACCAAGTCAGCTCAGGCTCAGGTCACTGACCTTGAGGCCCTCGGGCTGCCAGTGGCCCGAGCGCATAGGCGAAAGCGAGGTAGCGTGTTTTACTCTCGCGCATTGCGGTCGAGTGAATTCGACTCGAGACACCCGGCACTCCTGGCAACGCCTTGGCAAGCGAACATTCACATTGCGTACCTGTGCTTCAAATCAGCTGCCGCTGCATACAGCGCGCCCATGAAACACGGCTAGCATCATTGTCTTGCCAAAGTTTATGCAAAGCAGCAGCGCTTGTTCATGCAATTGCTTGGCCCAACGCAACCAGAGTGCGCTTTGTAGAAAAGCTTGCTTCAAATATTGGCTGCATGCCGCAGCAACGCAAAGTGTGGACCTGTACGGATCCAAGTGCATGTTGAGTTCGAAGCTTGCGCTACAAAAGCGCAATTGGCAAGCCTGAAATCGGGTGAGGGCAGTCGCATGCCGCTGGCAGCCAAGCACGCACGTTGAACCCTACTTTGGCAGACCCAACTACAACCATCCGTACCAGCGATGAATCTCAACCTCTTAGGTGCACCCAAAACCCTCAACCTACCCCGCCTGTGAATGCGTGTCTTACTTCTCCGCGCAGCCTGGGCCACTTGAATGGCTGGAACCAGAGTTCGGGGCCCGAAGCTATCGGACAGGATGGACATTCGTTCATGCCAGGCACCTCACGTGCAAGAGCACATGTGTGCGCAATGACCTTCTCAAGTTGCAACCAATGCTCCCCGAAGGTGCACGATACTGCAATATCCGCCGCAGCGCCTGGCCGGTTTGTATTCACTGCCCACCGCAGGATGCCCCAGCTTACGAAGCCTAGTTAGATGTTCTAGCACTGCCAAGGCAGCTGTTGAAATTGCGTCTTGGCCTGATACGTTCTGAAGCCGCTCGGTCCCCTCTTGGCGGCTCATTGCCATGGCCGCATTGCCAGGATGCTTTGGAGAGCGCCGGCGCTCAGCGAGCGCTCGCGGATCGGGAGGCTCGGAGGCAGGCAGAGGAGCTGGAGGCCTGGCCGGGATGTAGCGATGCCATGCGTTGCGAGCAGACAAGCGCAACCCGAAAATATTTTTGTTCTGCAGACTGCCTCGCATGTTTGTTTGGCATGTGATGAGCGCTGTTGAAAATGGATCATGCTCGAGCGGCACCAGAAGAGAGCGCCAATGGCAATAGATAGCTTCGCGGGACATTTGCAGCTGATCCAAGCATAGTGCTCTACATTCCGGTTGAAAGACAATCGATGGTACGTCCGAGGGACGCAGCGTCGTTGTGCCCGATAGCCTTGAGTGGCAAGCTGCCTCAAGTTCACCCCTACACCTAAACCACCATTTGGGGTGAGGTGGGGTCGCTATAATTCACCCAGATATTCAGCAAATGGAAGTTCAGCTTCCAAGCGTCATACCTTTCTCAAAGATTTGCTATAGTGACCACTGGGCGCGGCGGCGCGGCGCGGCGCGCCGATCCCAGGCCGAGGCGCAGCGGCAAGGCGCGCGGATTTGGCATGGGCAGGCGGAAGAGCCGCTTGGGCGGCAGGTGCAGCCGGGGCTTGGGGTAGGGCTTTGGACATAGTCTGGAAGAATTTGTTCTCGCACCTGTTCTGGCCAAATGCCAGTCTGCCATCCCAGGCCGGGGCAGTCGAGGAAACTCACCCAACACGCATGTCGTCTTGCTCCAGATGAGTCTCAACTGGCCCAAACACGCCGAGGCGGCAGCGCTCCGCCAAGGCAGCGCTGGACGAAGCGCTCAAACGCGTGGAGGCAGCCCAGCGTGCGCTCGAAGAGGCAAAGCAGCAGGCCGGATTCTGGAGGTGGTCGTGTCGCCCTGGTGGTTTCAGGTGCCAGAGGTGTCAGATCTTGGGCAAATGATTGGCCCTCCAGCATGGGGGTGGGGTGGGGGGAGGGCACGGGCTGCTTGCGGCAGCAAAGCACATGATGTACTTGTATTTGACAGCAATGGTCGGCTCATTGCAGATGCAAGTCAGAAAGGTGATGCCAGATGTTGAGTTGGCTCAAACTTGGGCGGCTGCGTAAGGCCGGAAGGTGGCACATCAACTTCCCCACAGACTCCCGATGCATGGTGTTTTGCATGCAAAGTCTGCCCCGGGCCTGGAAGATGCCCGAGGAGTCAGGGCAACCCCTGGCTTCACAAGCTGTCAAAGGCGCTGATCCACTAGATCTTTGGATCCAGCATTTCTGTTGCCAGAGGGCAATCAACATGTCGAGGAGGTCACTCAGTGTGTGTTAGCTTCATTTGAGGGGCTGGTTCCGTTCGAACCTGCTTTGCTGACGCTGAATGTGGCGTCTCCCTCCCCAGAGTGGTTCTCGTTCCTGCCCAGTCACCGATGGAGCTCGGGGTTCGCCAATGGATTTCGCGGCCTCGTCGGTTGCGTTTCGCATCGAAACGTCGCGGTCGCGTCCGCAGTCGGCAGGCTTCCATGCGGCAGCAGTCTGCTGACGCGGCCTGCCAGGAGCTGCAAGAGGAGGGGACCTTCAAACTTCAAACGTACATCGAATCGGGCGCCGGACATTGGTTAGCCATGTCAATGTGGTGGAAAGCAGCTATCTCAGAGCATTCATTTCATCACATATGCAAATGCATACTGTATATATATATATATATATGTGTGTGTGTGTGTATCTATATATGTGTATATTCTAGTTGCGCTCAGCATATGTGCATGCTGCATTGGCATTTTGTACGGTCGAATTTTCTCCCCGCATGGGCCCGCATGCGCACTCCTCAGTTGCGTGCAGATCTCCCTGTCCAAGCCGCAGGCGAAGCAGCAGATGGAAGCAGGTGTGCAGGAGGGAGCGGCTCGGCGGCGGGCTGCGGAGGAGCTGGCGCGCCAAAGGGCGTCCGAGGACCCCCGTGGCCCTTGGCAGCGCGATGCTTTCTCGGGGTACTTGCCTTGCGATCTGCTTCAACACAGGGCTCGTTCTTTTCTCCGCTTGAGGCTTTAGAGCTTTTACCTTGTCCCGTAGGAGGCTGCCATGAAGCTCAAGCTGCGTGGCCTTTGCTCTGAGCTGGGCCTGAGCACAAAAGCAGAGGAGGCTGGATTTGGGCAGGCGGATGGAAGGGTTGTGCTCTCATTTTCTCCACAACAATCGTTGGGTTTTTCTGGGATGGAATTAGCGTCCACTTCCTGCTGCAGGGTCTTGGTGTCAGGCATCGTTCCCCTACACAGGACACTTCCATTCAACATGCTAACCCGCTGAACAAGTGCGCAATTCGAAAGACGCTATCAGCCTTTTGAGGGCAGCGAGGGTCTCACCCGCATCTTGGAGAAATCTCTGTCGGATGCGGGGCGTCCGCTGCGACTGGGCTGCATGATGGGAGTGGTGATGGGGCATGCTGGGCCATGTCGGGCTTTGCCCAGGCGAACGAGTATGGATGCGCCACCGGCACTTCAGCCAGCAGTTGGATCGCGGATCGCATCCCCAATTGTCTTCAGACTCTGGAGCCCCCCTGGTCAGATTCACTTTCTGCTGCCAAGGCCCTAAAGGCGGCGGAAACGGAGCCAGAGGCTTGCCTGCTTTTTGGATTGGTTGAGGATGGGCAAGCCATGTTGCAAACAACACTGCAGCAGGTGGCGGCGAAGGTTGCAACTGGAGGGGAGCAAGGCGAGTGATGTCCGAAGCTGGTGTTGGATGGTGATGGCCTTCTGCGTGTGCTTGCCTTCCCTGTGGCACCGACTGGCCCAAGCACCTGACTGGGAAAGGTAGTGGGCATTGACAGCTTTGGAATTTTGCCATCTGTTTCTTGCTGGTGATTGCCTGGACTGCCTATGTGTCCATGGGCTTGTCAGGCGCAGGCTCTTTGACAGGAGAGCCTTGGCAAATGACAGCTTCAGTAGGATGGATGGGGTGCAGCATGTGACATTTGTGCTTTGCTAAGATGTGTGCGCTGTGGTAGCGGGCAACCGGTCTTCAACCAAAAATATGTCCAACAAGGGCGCTTTCCAGCCGCAGCCCCGCACAAGGCGCCGGCGCCGGACGGCGCTGTGGTGCCGGACAAGGCGCCGGCGCCGGACCTGGCACCGGCGCCAGACAAGGCGCCGGCAGATGGCAGCGCACACGTGGTGCTGGCGCCTCGTTCTTGAGAGGGTTGAGGGGCGCTTGCCTCACTGGCACTTGGGCCCAGCTGGGGCGGCCAGGATTTGCCTACTGAGAAAGCATTGGCAGGTAAAGCACTCGTGAGACGCTTGCTGCTTTCGCAATGCTGCGCCCGTGAGTGAGCTGTGAGGTCATGGAAGGCGGCCAATTCCGAGTAGAGCCGACCTTCCCGGTGGAGACAGCGGAGGAGTAATCTTTGCCAGCTAGTTCCAACAACCACTGCTGAGGGGCTAGGGGCAAACCTGCCATTTTACGTTAGACTGCGAGGCCTCGAAGAGATTCGAAGAGGCCCTGCTTGAGGTTTGGCAGTTTGTGCCTGGGATTGAAGGCCTAGGGGAGCCTTACGGGAAGCCGACGCCCAGTTCCTCGCGAGGAGCGGCAGCAGCAGCTGTGCGTGCAGCTGCAGGAGACGGAGCAGGCGCTGGAGCAGCGCCGGGGCGATCTACGGGCGGCCAAGGAGGCGAAGGGGCCGCAGTTTTGTTTGGTTTGGTTTCCCTTCTTTCCTTTTTTTTGGGCGGGGGGTGCGTGGGGTGGGGATGGGGGTGGGGATGGGGGCGTCGAATGAGGTGTTTGGTTGGTTTCACCAGGGCTGGCAATTGTTTGCTCGTCGATTGATGACGCTAATTGACAACAATGGCCAGGGGAGAGTGGAGTGGTTGCCGACGCATGTCCAATTCAAGTAGTTACAGATGAATGCCACCGTGCCTGGGTTGCAACTCGTTATGTTTCACTCATGGCACTTTCAACAATGTTAAACCTCTTTGGATTTGTTGCTTTAGATTGCTGCTTGGCTGGCTGTGTTCCCCCACTCTTTTTTCAAATGCTGCGGAGGCTCACGTGGCCTTGGCTGCTCAGATCAGGGAGAAGCAGGAAGCAGCGAAGCCCGTGATCAGACAGTTGGAGCAGGACGTGGCGAAAGCCAAGCAGGCACAGGAGGCTTGTGCCCCTGGGCTGCGAGAGGCTAAGCGGCTAAGCTTTCCGTGCCATTTGGGTATGGGTCAAAATTAAGCCTCCAGGGGACCGCAGGTTTTGGTCCATGTTTCTGGTTACCAGGGTTCCATTGTTGGGTACCTATCTTTGACCCACAGCCATTTGTGGCATGCGACGTGAGGCTGCAGAGGTGGCAAAGGTCCAGCAGCTGCAGCAGAGCTTTGAGGAGATGCAGGACCCCGAGAAGGTCAAGCCCAGGGCCGCCAAGGCGCGTCGGGAAGTCCCGCGGCCACGGAGAGCCGCGCGTGGCGTGGCGTCGGTCTTGGACGCAGGCCAAGCTTTCGCCACTGCAGCAGCTGGGGATAGAGGCGCAGGCGGTCACCAGTCTGGTTGAACTGCTGCAGAAGAAGAAGTCCAAGCGCAGCCCCAAAGAAAGGACCGGGATGGGCCGAGAGGGGCCACAGGGTGTGTGGTAGCCTATCAAAACCAAGTGCCGTGGCACGCCGCCCAGGAAGCTCTTGACGCTGGTTCAGGACACCATCAAGGCGCAGTTGAAGGCCAGTTGGGCCCTCAGCCTTCGCATTTGGTCCAGGAGGGTGCCTGGTTTTAGTCGCCCAGCCCTTGGCCGCTCCAAGGACATGGCCTCCAAGAGAGGTGTGCGGGTGATGTGCGGCAGCGCCAGGAGAGGGACCCGGGGCGGGGGAAGCCAAGCCCATGCCAGCGCATGCCCATCCCCGGAGAAGCACAGCAAACTGAGTTGGCCGTCCAACACTTATTCCAGTTGGCCTTGGCAGGAGAAGGTGGATGCTGCCCAAGCCGCAGAGCGCAAACACGCCCAGGCCGGCAACTTTGGTCGCAAGAGGTCAGGGTTGAGCTAGGCCAGCACGACAAGTGCATGCCATTGCAGGGGAGAGGGATGCAGCCAGGCTTGCCAGTGAAATTTGATATCCATGTTTGTTGTGGGTTTCCCTTAAAGCCTATCCTAGCATCAACAAAAAGAGCCACCAGTGTCGGCAAACTAAAGGCCCATGACTTTCAACGCAGCTTTGTCAGCAGTGCCAGGAGGTGGAGACCTCTCAGCAGCAGGTTGCTGCAAAGGAGCTGAGCCTTAAGGCTGCAGAGGACAGGCAGTTGACAGTTGACCCTGTGGTGCCGTCCGTGTTCCATTATTTGTGGTTTCAAAGGTCACCTCTTGGACCAACTTCAAGGGGGGAGGTTCGGAAAAACATGGAGCCCTTCTTTGGGCATGAGGATCGATTTGGGGGAACTGCATCACCACGAAAGAATGAAGGCTCGGCTAGCGAGAGGTAAGCCTGCAACTTGGCGATGTGTGAATATGCGCAGGAGGTCTTGGAAACCGCACGCGCCGCCTTGGCAGAGCACGAGGTGTGGAGAGGTCCCGCACGGAGCAACGGCCTCTGCTCATGCCAGGCACGGATGACGCGGGCAGGGCTCCTGCGCTTCAACTCGGCCAGCGCTGCCTGCTGCCTTTGCTGCGAGGATGTGCCAGCGCGAGCTGCCGCGACTTTGGGGTGTGGCCACGGCTGGTACTGTCCCACCTGCGTGAATCGCTTCGTGGAGGCTCTGGGCTCTGGCGTCTGCGGGGGGTGCTTGCGGGAAGCGACTTTGGAGCTTCTGGTTTTGACGTCAACGGGATCAAATCAAGCTGTTGCAGACAATAGAAAGGCAATGGGACCGAGACGATTCTTTCGCGTCGGACAGTCTAACAGGCTGCTTGGTCACTCTTGTGCTTCGTAGTCGTTGCCGATATTGCCATCCGATCCGGAGTGGAAAGTCGCCAGGCACGCTTGGAGGAGGGCATTGCCGGAGACATCCCATGTCCGGACTGCGGCAAGACCATTTCCGAGGATGACCTCGTGAGCGCACCAGTTGCATTTGGCGCAATGGCCGATATTGTCACATGTGTTTACCAGGCCCTGGTCTTCAAGGCATCCCCTCTCTCTCTCTCTCTTTCTTTTTCTCTCAGCCGTTTGTGCGCCAAGGGCTCTTGCCGAAGCAAACCGTCTTCAAGCTGCACGCCTCGAACATCAGCCGCAAGGCTGTGGCCTCTGGCGCTGTCCCGCGGTCGTGCCCCCCGGCCGCAATGCGCAGGACTCCTGGACTCCTGGGGGGGGGGGGGTTGGGAGAGCGCAGCGAGGATGCCGAACCCTTCGCTAGTGGGAGTCACTCCCAATGAGGTGTTGCCCGAAGGCCACATGCCTGGCAGTCTCTTGCTGGATGGTTTTTGCGGCAGGTGTTGCTCATGTGTCGACAGGTCCGACCCCTGACTGCCCCATGGAGAAGACCTTTGATGACGGGGGTTCTGCACGGGAGACCTGCCCGCTCTGCGGCGAGGAATCCTGTGCCCCAGCTGAATTTTCCTGGCCAGCTGTGAAGCTTCAACTTTGCTTTTTTCCCCTTGGTGGGGAATGTTGAGCCGTCCAGTTTGTTGGAGCATGCCATTCTCCAGACATCGACCTGGCTTGTTACACGCTCACTCAGGTTGGTGGTGTGGAGCGCAGCCTTACCACGAGGGCCTCAGCTGTGAGGAATATCGGAGAAAACACAACGACGATGACCAGAGCCCCTTGGCCCACCATTCGGCTCCGAGGGCGTGTCTGCTGAGTTGACTGGTCAAGGCTTTTTGCAGTGGATGAAAGCGACCGGCACGAAGCAATGCCCAACTTGTCGCCCGGCAGAACTGCAGAGGTGACAATTCGCAACCCTTGTGCTTGTTCCCTTTCCTCAAGTTGGGCCACGGACCGCCAGGTGGAATGGCTACAACCAAGGAGAATTTGGAGATGCAAACTGACCAGGCGCTTTGCAAGAAGACCGCTTTTGACGCTTTGCCCATCCGCCAAGCCCCCAACACGCCCACCCCGCATCCCTCACCCCGCACCCCCCACCCCCCACCCCCCCCACCCCCCACCCCCCCCAGCGCCACGGAAGGTGGAGGAGTGCCACAAGATGATCTGCAGAAGCTGCGGCACCAAGTTCTGCTTCGGCTGCGAAGCCGTCCTCACAGAGAGCTTTTCATGCCCCGCCCCCGGAAGCCCCGGACACGTGCGCGGTGCGTGCCCTGCGTTCTTGCGAGCTTCCTTCCCATGGGTTTTAGCCCAGGTGGCTGCACGCAGAATGCCCACAACTTTGTGGACCCGCACACGGGCAAGCTCGTAAAGCATTTGAAGAAGGGAAAAGCCAAGCCGAAGGCCAAAGCCAGGCGTGGCTCTTGCGCTATACTGCGAGGGTCAGATGTGCCCAACGGTTTCTCCGCTAGGAATTGAGCCGGGCCTGGCAAAAGGCTCGAGCCTGAGCCTCGTGAGTCAGGTGCTTTCGGAGCGACGTCGAATTGGTGTGACAGATCTGTGCATAAATCCCCACTGCCACCGCTGCAATCGAGTTTAGCTTGGGGCCTTTTGCCCCTTCCGCATGTGCATCTTCGCGACGCATGATAGGGAATCCCTATGGAGAGGCATTCTTCTGAAGATCATTTCATTTGTTCGATCGCACCCGCTTGCAATTGATTCCGCCGCCGTTTTCTTTCTGAAGGGGAGGTTCCTGTGTAATTGCTTTCCGTTGCCAGCGCAGCGTGCAAAGCTTGGCTGGAACAGATTGTGCGCCTGCACTTGTACGATAGTCTCACCCCGCTTGTTTGTGACCCTGTGCGGGGATTACGGCCAGGCCTCCCACACAGATGGAACGTGTTCAACAGAATGTGTTCATTCATTTCCAATCTTTGGCAATGAACCTTACGGCAGGGATAATTGTTGGCACGGCCTGAGAAATTGTGGCATCCGCACATGGTGGCATGCAGACGAGCGATTTAAGCCAAGTCGAAAAAGCCAAGCGCGCAGCATTTCAAGATGCCTTGATGGCCCTGAAATGCCTTGATTAGGGCCCTTCAGAGCGAGGGAGGAGAGAGAGAGAGAGAGAGAGAGAGAACAACAACAACATTATAGCAATATATCGCTTCGCATATCTTGCCCTGCGATGTCAACCCCTCAGTCTGCAAGTGCCAGGCCACGTGTCGTGCAAAAGTTCCATCCGGCAGCCAAAGCAGCTTGCGCCGACACCAGACGGATTTGTCACGCCAAAAGTCGCGCCTCAAGTCGGATGGAGCTCGTGGCTTCTGGGGATTGCCGTGAAGAGATTTGCAGGCTTCACCCTTGGCCCAAGGGGCTTTCGGTGGAGCATAGGGACACTCATGGTCCCCGCGGTGCATCCAGAAACAATGTGGTGCCATTCGGACGTTGCAAGAAAACGACTGGGCAGACAGATATTTCAAGGGCTCAGCTTGAAGGTAAGACCCTGCATGCCGGCTTTGCGCAGAGCGCCGCCCCTTGCTGCCCCTCGTTTGCGACTGTGGCCATGCCATGGCTTGGGCAACTGACTTCCGACAGGCGGGGGGCGGGGTGGGCGTCTTGAGCCAGTTGGTCCCTTGGTGCCCCAGGGCCAGGGGCAGGTCGCCGTGCAGGCGTATCCGGCGCCCGCCGTTGCCGCGCCGTATGTGCAGAGATGCAGGGCTCCCAGGGCACCAAGGGCACCAAGGGCGCACAGGCAAAGGCAACTGAGGGAGCCTTCCGAGTGAGCTTTGCCATCCCTTGCCGCACTGCCTGACGAGTTTTCGTGACATCCTGACCAGCTGGGTTGGTGAGACTCGCCGCCTGGCCAACAGCGCAAGGTGTGCCAAAGTGCTGAGGTCGTTCCATTTCGCCGGGGCCAAGCCGACCGCTGCCACCGTCAAGAGCCACGTTCATAGCACGCATGCCCACGGTGCAGGCTGGGATGACTTGAGCTAACCAGCCGGGCATATGAAACTGGTTGCTTGGGCCATTGGGGCGAGGCGCAACAGCCGGTGCCCGCTCAGGTGGGCATGCGGTTTGGCCCATGGCACTGGGCCATGATGCCCTTTTGCAAAATAGATGAGAGGAGGATCATCCCATGGACAGTTGCCCCCGCAGCCTTTTTGTGGTTCGCGTAGCGTTTGTCGAGCAGCTCAGCAAGTCTTGGGACAGTTTGAGTTGTTGTCAAGGCAGGTTTGGCAGCATTCCTAGCAGTCGCAGCGGCATAGCACAGGCATTGCAGCTCAATTTTCGCCATGGGCTCCGATGAGGGCTCCACCTGGGAATCCAATCCGCTGTACCCGCTGGAATCCAGCGACTTGGAGCAGGGAAGGGTGTCTTTGACAAAATGGGAACAGGTCAAGCATCAAATCCTCTTTCTGCGCCTGCAGCGGCCCTACTTCATCTACTGCTTGATGTGCTCGCTCATTGCAGCCGCCGCTTTTGTGTCCACTTTGCTGGACCTGTGCTCAGAGCAAGGGAAAGGCAAAGGCTGGCATGACATTCTGGAAGGTGGCACTTGGCAGAGTGCCTGCTGGCATACGGTGAGTGTAGCATTACTGGCAGAGGTGCTGTGCAACCTTTTGGTCGCGGGTTCGCGAGACTGGTGGTGTCTCTTTGACGTCACCTTGTTGGTGCTGACGGTGCTCGCATGGGCGCTGTCGAAGTGGAGGACGGCATCCATCATGCGAGAAGAGGCCGAAGAGGCGGATCTATGGCTGATCTTTCTTCGCTTCGCGCTTCAGCCCTGTCGCGTTCTGGCTTCTGCTGCGAGGGCTCGCAAGGTGAGGCAAATGCAGCGAGGCTGTGTGGATATTAAATTCGATGGACTGACCCGTGGCTCGAACAACGACGCGCCCATGTCAAACATGTCACCGCGAGATTTGGGATCAAGCAAGACGACTTGAACCCGCACAGTTTCACCATGCAAAAAGCATGATAGCAGGAAGCCTATCGTGCACGGTGCGCTGTGTGAGCCAAACTGGGCCGTCAATCCTTGTCGCAATAGCCACCAAAGCCCTCCACAAACCTGTATAGCTGTAGGCGGTTTTGTTGAAGGTCCCTGTTTTCTCTAATGACTCTAATGTTGTATTCGTTTCAAAATTGCCGTTTGTGTGTGAGCAGCACGTGAAACGAGAAACGCTGCCCACCTTGTGCTGCGGAAGGTGGCACGGAGTATTTCTACGCCCTGTGCGTGCACCCCAGCCGCGCGGCAGAAAACACAGGAGGCACGACATCAGCGGCACCAATGGGGACAATTGGCACCCAGGGGGTATGTGAAGGGACTGGCACCCAGGGTTGCGGACCTGCCAGATGTTTGCCTCCACTTTGGAGGCAGTCTTTGTTGCAGGGCATTTGGCCGCATTCTTAGGTGCGGAGCGCGCGAAGCTGTGGCAGTGCAACTTGGCATTTAGAGTAGGGGTGTAGGAGTTGTGGGCCGCCTTTTGCTGACTCCGGGAGGGGTTTATCATCCACCTTCAAATGTTTAATTAGCCTCAGCCAGCCCATGATATCCTAGGATGACATGTCTTCATGTGCTGAGGTCTGGTACTGTTGACTGGGGATGGTCAAACAACTGACCTGGCTTTTTCACCTGTCACAGGGGCCGGCCCCGGCCGTGAAGAATCCGACCTTGACCATCCTCATCCGGGACTTTGAGATGCAGCCGCTCAGACAGAGACTCCAACCCATGTCAAATCGGGTAAAAGTTGTCTAAGGCCGTAAGGCCTACAACAGAAAGTCAACTATGCCAACTTGCTTTGCATTGATTTGGGCGATGCTAGTGAAGGCATTCGCAGCTCCCTCCTTGCTGGGAGTCTGACCTTGGTCTGAGTCTCAGCGTGCATGGGTCTATCTCAGCGGATTTCGGCGCAACGATCTCACGCGGCCTCCGACGCGGAGCGACGCGTCCAGGCTCCTGTGCCCAGTGTGCGCAGCACATCAGCCGAGTGCTCCAGGAGCTGGCGCGGGCCCAAACCGTACGCAGGAGCGGCACTTTTCAGAAGGGCACGCGAGGATGCCACAAGCTGTGTCACAGCGTGCTGCCCCACTTTCTCAGCCTTACGAGAGGAGAGCACTATGCGCAATCAAAGCTGCCACGTTCGCAATTCCAAGCATTGCCAAATCCTTCTCATGAATGTGTATTTTGAGCGCATTCGCGCACAAGCATGCACGCGCGCAGGCACGTTCGTGTCCGCACACTCGCGCATGCAGGCACGGATCTCATACGTTGTTACATGAGATATCCCTTTTTTATTTTTCCATCTGACAGATGCATTGATACATAGATGCATGTGTGTGTGTGTGTGTGCGTGTGTGTGTGTGTGTGTGTGCAAACCTGCGTGCATAAATGCACAGGTGCATACATGCATAGACTTGCTGAGTCAAGACTCTCTGGATGCACCGGCAGAGAGAGAGAGAGAGAGAGTGAGAGAGCGAGATACGTGCATAGATGGATCAAAATCAAATGCATTCATACACAAATGCATACATGCATACACAGACACACATGCATGCACATACATGCATGCACAGATGTTGCGCGGCACATACACGCATACATCAATACATGCATAGACAGATGCATACGTACATACATCCATACATCCATACATCCACACATACAAGCAATTCACAGATTCACACATTGATGACGTTCATACTCCACACATCCCTGCATTAACGCGTTCACACATCTGTACAAAAACGCATCCATAGCATACATCCATGCATTCATGCATTGATAGTTCATGCATTCACCCACGAGAATGCATTAACACATCCATGCACTATACTATACGGTTATACACACCCTTCGTGTAACTTGCACATGCACACATGCACACATAGCTGCGTCAGTGGTGGTTGCAGGGCAGTTTTTACTTTGCACACAGCACTTCGCCAGCTTATGAGTCCTGCTGGCGTGTAAGGCGTGCAATGCAATGTGATCAGCTTTTGTTTGGTTTTCGTCTGTTCTTTTCCTTTTGCCTTCATCCTGATGCTCAGGCGCAGGGCGAACGTGTTCTGGTGCCACTGGAGCCAAACGGGCCGAGCGTGCCTGTGTCACTTGGCTTTTGCATTGGCCTGGACCAACCCGCAATGGTTGTGACACCTGCAGCCTCCCCGGAAACAACAAGCAATGCGGCAGTTCTGGAGTTTTGAACGCTTCCTGGGGCCTGGCAAGCTGTCCTGCCCTCTTGCCATGGGACATGCGCCCGCGCTGCAAATCCTTGTCCACAATATTGTCCCAGGCCCTGGGCAAGCCCAGAGGGCCGGCCAGTTCCTGACTGGTACCAGGCTGGGGTTATGGCTGTCAGTCTGGATGTGAGCCCGGCATTGGTTTACACGGGGTGGCGAGCTGTCGCTTTCTGGTTTGGATCCCCGAGGCCTACGCTGGGTATCATCTGCTCGCTGACGCACTTCAGGAAAGTCACGGGGAGACAGCGCCTCTTCTCATGAAAGATATCCATGCTAGGCTGACGCCCTCCCGTCACTGATCCACTTTTTGTGCACGTTTATTTGCAACGCACATTTATATGCTGTGAGTTCGGAATTGCGGAACACTGCCTTGGAAGCTGGTTATATCGACTTTTGCACTCAACAGGTGCGATGAGCGGCAAGACTTGAGACTCACGTCAGAGGGATAAATGCAACGGAGCAGAGGGCAACTTTTCGTGTAATGCCATTTGGGCGTGGCTCAAGCATAGGGTTCCAACATGCAACCCAGGTGAATGGAAATAAAGGCTAAAGCCTGCGTTCCCTGGTTCTCAGGTTTTGAGAGCCACCCAATTAGTTTCGCCACGTGCCGTGTGGTCCCATGGCGCGTGGCGCCATGGTGGCACGGCCTTTGGTGCCCGGTTGCCCACTTCCGAGGTCCGTGGCTGCTTCCGGCAGTGCAGCTGTGCCCTCTCCGGGGTCTTGGGCTGGCGCACCGGTGAGGCGTTGGTTTGGGCGAGATTCTGAGGGGTTGGGGAAAACCAGTCCCACGATTGACCACCGCAAACTCGCAGGATTGGGGGCGGGGTTGGGCTGGGGTATGCGCACGTGCCAGCTGTTGGCACATGCTAGATGTCCGCCTTGCGCAGGTGCAGGGCTTCCTGCGGCTTTGCTTTACCAGTTTCGGCCTGCCGGCTGCCAGCTGCCACCCCGCAGTGTGGTACCAGCGTGCGGCCCAGTTCAAAAGGGATGGCCCCATCTTCCGGCTGGCGAAGCCCCGGCCACGGATTTTGGACGGATGCGAGGGACGTCCTGCTAGGCTTGGTCCTGGTAGAACTCTTTCCAACTGCCATGAGAATTGGATGAGGTCCTTGCAAAGGTTAGTGAGCGACCAAGCTGGCATTTGGCAGCTGGGAACATCTGAGGCTGATTCGAGAGATCGCAGCTGACCCAGAGGCTTGGCTGGGCTTGGCGGTCGCAAGAGCGCTTTTTCTGCTTTTTGCCATTGCACGTTCCACTCTTGCTGGGCCGGCGCCGTGCCATGGGCTTTCCCCGCTTTTGCACAAGCGCGTGCCTGGGGCCATTGCAAACTTTGGCCAGGGGCGGCTCACGGAGGGCCAGGCCATGGAGCTGCTGCGGCGGTTCCTGCAAAGGCTCAGGAGCCCGGAGGCCTAAAGTTGGGGCCTTTCCGGGATACGCCTTGTGAAAGAAAAAGAAGACGCAACCCCCGCTTTGGAAGCGGGGGCATGGCACAAAGAACGGAAGCTGTGAGCGATAGGGTTGCAGGAAAGACAACCACTGTTGTTACGAGCAAGTGTCGAGCGGCCCATTACGCAACAAAGCACGTCTCATGTAGACTCGAGAGTGGTGAGCGTGGGAAGTGCGCCATGCGCAGATGCACAAATGCACGAATGCATTAAAACGGGGTGACTTCACCAACGACGCGGTGTGAATGCTCTTTCCCATGAGCACATTCGCTGTGTGTGGCACGTGAGATCTGCCGAGGCTTCCATGCAGAGGCCGTGGTCGACAGCTGCAATTGCATTTTCTGTCGCACTTTGAACTTGGGCCGACGCATCTGTTTAACAGTGCTGTCTTTGGGCGCAATGGAATTGGCGGCCTATTTGTCAATCGTGCTTGAGAGGCGTCCAGCCAGGTGCTTTGATTCAGCTGATGCGCTTTTTTCCGACTGCTCTCTCGTTTGCTTGACGCACCAGGCTGAACGTGCCAACAGCCAGGCGGACGCAGGACAGGTTCAATTAGTCACGGCCAGCAAAACATAAAGACGGTGAGACAGAAGAGTCAGCTGACCGCCTTGATGTGCCGTTTGCCTTGCTGTCCTCGAAAGAGCATTTTGTTGTTAAGTCGGCCTGTCAGGAGAGCTGGACGAGCGCAGGGCGTCCCTCGCTGAGAGTTGTATTTCAACTGAGTGCCGTCGCTCCAGAAGGCAAGCAAAGCAGCCGCAGTGTAGCGACATGTTGGTATGTGTTGGTGGCCCGTTTCAGCTTTGAATTGGGTGGCTCGAGGCGACACGGTTGACGCGCGTCCCGAGGCGTGGTGCACTTTGCGCGCTGGCAGCGAGCAGAGGCAAGTCAAGTTTCCTTCGCACAACTGACGCCTCGACTCGTTGTGGGCCCAGGACTGATTGCTGCCAGACAGCACAATTCCTATCTTGCATATGCGTGTTGCATCGAGGTTCAATTTCTTAAGCATTGAAGGGAGATGCATGCTTGACAGTTTCTTTCCTTTGGTTTTCTGGCCCGGGCTCATTACTCACAAGATGTTCGTGGCACTGCAGGTGGGACAGATTGCTTAGGGTCTGGGCACAAACATAACATGGCGAGAGCGGTGAAGCAGGAGCCTGCAGCCTACCAGAGAGTGAGCACAGTCTGTTCGTTTCTCCGTTGCACAGGCGACACGCTTCTTGCTGCCAAGGCAGGTCAACCAGAATGAGCCTCGCTTCGTTCGATTGTGCGTGCGTGCGTGCGTGCGTGCGTGCGTGCGTGCGCGCGCGCGCGCGCGCGCGCGCGGGCGGGCGGGCGGGCGGGCGTGCGTGTGTGCGTGCGCGCGCGCGTGGGTGTGTGTGTGTGTGCGGAGTGACAGAATACCCTGTCACCACAGTTTCTTGCACAGGGGGGTCACCCGCAGTCACGACCTGATCAGTCAGACGTACCTGCCGAGATGGTTGTGTTGTTCTGAATGTCCTTTTGGTCCCCCCCTGAACCGCCGTTGCTTCTGTGTGTCCCTGTTGAAGTAACTACAGGGAAGCCAAGTGACCTGCCAGCCGAAACTTATCCGAGTTGTACTCGAGACTCATCAGTTGTACTCGAGCCTCATCAGTTGTACTCGAGCCTCATCAGTTGTACTCGAAAGATTAGAACCCTCCATCTGGAGTCTAAGTGTGAACACCCCATTCGTGGGGGACCCTCGGGTGTACCCATCGTGTGACCCCGGGCCGGTACGCCGGAAAATCTGACCTCAACGTGCTTATCATAGAACAGCGGAATTTCACGTTTAAGCAGGAACGAGGTTTCACTAAAGGGAAGACAGCCACATCTTCATAGTTACGTTTCACAATCCTGGATGTCGCTGCTGGCAGTTTGTCGGTTGATCCACATGCATGTGCATGGTCTTGAGTTGTCGTTGATTGTGATTTGTATCCTGCCTCAAGGACGAGCTTTACTATTTCCGGACGTGTTGCTGTTTCGTCATGTCACGCCGGGATGATCGAGACAGATCCAGAACTCGGCGCAGACGGGATCGGAGTCCCTCCTCCCAACCTCGCAAAGCACGCAGACGTGAACACAATGACAACCAGGTCTCGGATGGCATGGATTGGAACAACTTGGTCTCCTGGCAACACAATTCGGGCTACAACACTTCCAGTGCTTTTCCGGTGCCGCCAAGCAACTATCAATCGAACCCCTCCTCTACGCAGCAATTTCACAATGCTCCGGTCAACTACATGATGCCGTTTCCCCCGGAACCCACACCAGCCAAGTTCGTGACGCCCGTGATGCCACCACCGGTCACTTCTTCCCAAGCTACACCATCGCCTGGATACCCGGCTGCGCTACCAGTTCGACCTCAAACAGCGTGGCTTACTCCACCGGATGATTGGAAACCTGGTGATGGCATGTTCGACATCAACCAACTCTACAATTTCAGCCTGCCCATGACGGTTGCCAGCACCCCGCACAATACTCTACGTGACATGTCTGGCATGGACATCCGGGATGTTCGCCTGGTTCAGGTCATACACGGGGGCATTACCAACTGGCTACTGCGACCATTTGCTCACGGGAGATTCGTGACGTGGGATGGATTTCGTACCCGCACCGAGGCCCTGCTTTGGAGTACCTGTTCAAAACTACTGCGACGATCGCAGCCGCTCAACCTGCTTACCTTGGAAAAGGACCTTGCCAATTCGCTGGGGCTCAACATACTTCAATCAGCGCATCAAGGTTCACGACCACTTGGCCAATCTGGTACTTCAGTTTCTTCACCAACATCACGCGACTCTTACGCCCTCTACCCAAGCAGAAGACATGCTCAAGAAGTTTAATTACCTACATCGTGCTCATGAGTTGCTTCAGGCTCAATATTCGGCATCACAACAAGCTTCGTCTTCCCCAACGTTACCATCTCAGAAAGAGGATGCAGAGTTGGTTACACCGCTTCCGGCCAACCACTCACAATCTTTGACGCCCACCAGCTCCCTGCCCACAGTCAGCGCGCCGGCCCTCGATGGCAAGTCGTTTGATGTTTCGGTTCAGCAACAACCACGGATCATCCAGTCTCTTCACGGACTTTCCTCCCCGCCTTCCAAGCCGGCGGCGTCACAGCTGCTCACCATGCACAGCACGCCAGAAGACATCATCAAGCACTACGCATGGACCAGTGATCAACCACGCTTGTATCTCAAGCAATCACCCACTACCACTACAGTGGCGTCATTGATTAAGTGGGCCAATCACCCATCTCGTCTCAACGGCAACAAGTCCTTGGAATCTAGGTCGACCCAGCTCTTTCAGGCTCGTCAACGCATACCAAAAGGAGATGCACCTACGTTTGCAGCTATGGCCGCTTTGTGGGGACTCGAACCCGGCTACATCACCAAGCTCACGGACAAAGCGCTGTGTCACCTCATCGTGACTGCCCGCTTACTCATCGGTTGAACAGTTTCCATTGCTTGCATATTAGCCCGGAGTGGCGGTTGCGTCGTAGATGACGAACGGTTCAAAACTTGTCCGTACTCTTCATGCATATTGCTTGTTTGGTGTGGTGCTTGTCTCTACTTGCCTTGTGAGTTGCTTGGTGCTCATTGTCTCCTGAATGCATGTCGCTGCCACCTTGTAGCCTTTCTTGGTTGCATATCCATCATGTGGACTGAACTTCGCCACAGTGGCATCTTTGACGACGTTGCACAATGGCATTCCTTGGCTACTTTTCTGAATTCGCTGACGGTGTTCTCTACGTGCTGGCAGTACTGCTTTCCTGGACTTCCACCACCGTCGATCCCAATGGATGAGTATGAGTCCATTCAGCAGTTGCCTCAGTTAGACCTCATCATTGAAGTGCTCGTCGTGGTTCGTATTGCACTTCAGATTCCGTATTGTGGCCAACAGGTATGAGCACAAATGGCGGAACACAGCCTATCTGTTGATCTGTTTTTTGCAGCGTCTCATGTCTCAAAACCATGGGTACATTCCGCCGTTCTTCGAGGTTCTTCATTTTTACAAGACGTCACTGCTGTGTGACATCATGCACTCTACTTTTGCGGATATGAGACACCTTCGATCACTGCGGACCCGGACCTTTTTGACTTCATTCAAGATCCAGGTCACCATCAACAACCATGCGTCTACCTTAGACTCTCACCATGGCATAGTCCCTACTATGTTGGAGCAACAGATCAGGATGTTCTTCGCCGTGAACATTCTCGCAGCCGCAAATTTCTACAACTACTACGGGGACATCATGCCTTCTTTGAGCCAGCGCTTCACTACTGGAAGCGATCCAATGCCTACTGGCTTTTCTGCGCCATTCCGGTTGAGATTAAACTCCAACTTTCTTCGATTTGGGTCCAGGAAAGCAAGTGGCAATACACGCTACGTCCACATCTAAACGCTCCCTGGGTGCACAGACTTCTTCCCGTGAACATCTGGTTGACTTTCGGCGTCATTCGTTGTCATCGCCTACCTCACTCTCGCTACACAAACGCTTTCGGCGACGACTACATCCTGATCTCCATCGGCAATTACGACCCGAGATGTTGGATGACATTCAAGCACACTACTCCACTCTTTATCAACTGGGATCCAACACAGGTGCATCGTTTCAAGCTATGCGCGAGCTTTTCCACCCACCCAGCTATACTACTTCCTGCGACTCTCCGTCTTCGTCAACGAGCCTTTTCGTTCCAAGGCGCAGAAACCCCTCGCCCAGGTTATGCGCAAACGACAACTTCAGTTACCGAGCACCATGACTCAAATGCTTCTCCCACCTCTACACGTTCAGAATTGGAGGGCTCAGCTTGGAACATGGTTGCAACGTTGGGTAGCATCACATCGTGATCTGTTTCCTTCCTTATTTCTTCCAAAGATCCGTGTTGTGGAAACTCGCAGTGCTACCTTGGGAGACAGGATCTACAACTACCGCTCATGGCAACGCAGGTGGGCTCCTAACACGTCCTTTCCGTGCCGCTGTTCGGACATGGATGCCTGCAACCTGTTTCGTGCACATGATCATGCCGTGATTGTTGATGAGTTCTCGCGCATCAATGCGGACATTGACCTTGACATCATGACTGCATCCATGAAAGATCAGTATTTTGGTGATGTTGACATGCTTCAACAGCGTTTTACCATGCAGCTTCGTCGATTGGCTCGTCGCTGGCATATACATGGAACCAGTTTCCCTACTGATTTTCAACCTGTTCTGACGGAGTTGATCGATGCACATCGCTCTAACATTCAAGACCACGCACATTGGACTTCCGCGTCACTGCAACGCACTATTGTTTCCCTGTCCTCGTGGGTTGTATTCCCAGCGGATCATTTCCCCTCGCGGGCTCATGTGATTTGTCCTTCGTTATTTGCCACACTGATGCACAAGACCTTTTGCACAGGAGATGTCTTTTCGCTGTGCTGTGAGTCTGCAGCATCTTTTCGCTCTGAAGTTGTCACTACGATACCTGCTCTCCTACAACAGCGTTACGCTTGGGGACTTCGACTACAGGCACCGTTGCCCACGGCTCGCATCCTTCCCAAACCGACCAAGGACTGGCTAAAAGCGAGACCGATTATTTCTTTCTTTCGCACGTGGGCAGCACCCCTCCTCACAGTCTTCGGCGCCCTCATTTTTGAACTCACCAAAGTCACCTTTCCAGACGTACCAGGTCAGCTTTCGGTTCAGGAGCTAGTCCAGCAGCTTTGGGATGCGCTATCACATGAAGAGCCCACCGAATACATCCACCTGGTATCTCAGGACCTTTCCGGATTCTTTACATCCATACCCACGGAGCGTTTCCATCAAGCGCTACAAGTCCTGCTGCATCGATATGACCAAGTAGTTGGTCTCCGCAGATCTTCACATTGGTCGGTGTACGAGGTGAAGTCGGATCATCGACGTCGAATGTTCAAAGGCAAGTGGCGCCGTCAAACCAAGGTCCCTCGAACCTTTCGTGAACAAGATCTTCGATGCCTCCTTGACTTTGTCATTGATAACAGTCATTTTGAGATCAATGGCTATTTGTTCCGGCAGGAACGTGGTGTTGCTATGGGATAACCTGCGGCGCCCCCACTCTGCAATCTGGTTGCTACAGTCGAGGACTTCTTCTGGCATCAAACCATGTGCTCTCTTCGATTTCGCATGTCCGACTTCGGGGTGATCTGGCACGAGCGCTATGTCGACAATCGCTTCATCCTGCCCGT